TGTTTCAAACATTTAACCACTCACACGTCTATGGGGACTCTAGTCACCAAAAAATTAATACAGTCCGTGGGGACGCTAGTATCCAAACGACGCACGTAAATTAATTCAAATCCATCTAGCGTTTTATTTTGGTATTACAAGTACTGTTACAAAATACTAGATGGCTCTGTATTAAATTTAAAATCCCTGGACATGTGAATTGTAAGAGAATTTCTAATTTAGAAGTGAATATATTAATTTCGGTTACGTTATTGTAGTACGACAGGTTTCGTAACATTTAAGTATCATTGAGTACCGTCATTATAGACACAATTAAAGAACAATAGGTGTGCGGACACCGATGTCCTCGTGGTGTTTGACAGTTTAAAGCATTCTATAAAAACTAGTTTAAGGAAATATTTTTTTCTATAAATTGTCCTTTTTCGATAAAGGACGCAAAAGAGGGTATTTAGTATCTAGAGCTTCTAGGTATTTTGATTTCAATTTTTTTACACTTGGTCGGAGTAGGGTAAAGGGACCAATTCCTGTCTCTTGCCTGTAAGTGTAGGTCGCTCTTAAGTGTGGGTACATGTTTAACATGCATAAAATTTCGAACAAAACGTGTCCTTTGTAAATAGTCGCTGTAATTGTTATTTTAACCTCGAGACAGGTATGGCAGACAGGGTAAAAGTCTCACCCTTGAGAGACAGACATTATAAAAAGGATTCTTTGTTTACAAAGAAAGTTCACTTGGGATTCTCGCAATTGAAGTTATTTCTAAAATGTATAAAAAAATTTTTTTAACAATTTCGTATAATTTTGACCGATGATGTTTAGTTTAATTTTCTAACTAATTTATTTTAGACAATAATTGAATGGTGCGGTGATTGGGCAAGTGGCTGCCGCGCAATGTGTCGCGGATTCGATTCACGCACGGAACAACTCTTTGTGTGATCCACAAATTGTAGTTCTGGGTCTGGGTGTCATGTGTATGTGAACTTGTATATTTGTAAACGCACCCACGACACAGTAGAAAATCCTAGTATGAAGCAAGGTTTTATAAAAAAAAATCACTTAATAAATAGACAAATAGTTGTTTTACTTACTTATTTAACCACCCGTCCAGCGACTGGAGCCTTTACCCTAAGCATAAGTCACGGAGAACCTAACGAGTAACCGGGGCTCCGGCTCGACGTGCAGGAGAAGGAACGGGGTGGTTTTTAGTCAGTAAGAGTCTGACACTCCCTCCCGCCTCACCCAGGCGGGAGCAGTCATTCGATGATTTTCCCCCCTTAAAAAGTAACCCTAAGCATAAAGTTTTATAACAAGGAACGAAATCCTACAAAATCCGAAATAAAATATGAAGCTATAACTTTAAAAATACATTACAGTGTACTTAGTTTAAATCCTTCAAAAATGCAAAATGTACGAATGCACCGGTCTTTATAAACTCCGTTTTATGATCATATTTTATACATTCTTTCGGATTTTATAAAATCCTATCTTAAACACTACTTCTACGTTCAGACGGGAAAATTTACATAATATTTTCATAGAGAAATGGACTCTGCTACGTAGATATTAAAAGTGGTTATTTATTTGGCGTTTTTCTTCATCCCTTGGTCTCCTGAGGTGCGTGATTGCTTTCCTCAGACCATTCTCGGTGAATTGAATTTACATAGAATGAGGTGGAATTGTTTTTGACTGGATCTAACAGTATATATATATATGTATAGCACTAAGAAATTATTAAATAACTAGCTACTTTCGCGCGGTTTCACTCGCTCTGCTCGGCGCCTATTGTTCGTAGCGTGATATTTTATAGCCTATAGCCTTCCCCGATAAATGGGCCAACCGACATAGAAAAAACTTTCAAATCGGGCTAGTAGTTTCGGAGATTAGCACGTTCAAACAAACAAACAAACAAAAAAACAAACTCTTCAGCTTTATAATATTAGTATAGATGCATCAGTGAGATCGCGAAAAACATTTTTTTAAAGACACCCATTACATGGTGAACTCATAACATAAATAGTGAAAAGTCGGTATTACATTGAACAGTGGCATTAAGTGCCATAATGTGCACCTTCGTGGATAAAAGGTGTAATTAACGAAAGGAGTTTCTGGCTCGTCCTTCTCAATTCGAAACTACATTTAGAAACAAACACCTAGTTTCACTTATAAGTAGACTACCGGACAATTCAATTTTGACGTCACAAAAGTGATTCATATTACAGATTACGTCATAA